GAAAAGAGGATTGATGCTTTTGAACTTTGGTGTTGGGAAGTACTCCAGAGATTACTATGGATAGTCAAGGAAACAAACACCCAACAAATAAATCCAGGATTCTCACCAAGGCACAAATGATCAGGCTTAAATTATTATATCTTGGACACAACATGTGAGGACCTAGCTCTTTGGAGAAATTGATAAGGCTGAGAAAAGTGAAAGAAAAGAGAAGGTGAGAATGAGGATGTCTTAATTATAACGGCAATGGGTGCACCATTTTTAAGATCTGAAGTGTCTGGAAGAAAGTCGATTTATGTGGTGTGTTTATTTATTAAAACCATTTAAATAGCCAACTCCTAAACAACTTTGGGCAGTTCTTAAATGAAAAGTTAAAACAATATATAAAATCATATTAAATCTATAAAACTAAATGAATCAAAACACTAAAAGCAACAAAGACATAGCGCTAAGTCCTTTCTAATGCAAATTATCCAACCTTGCCCAGCACTTGTGGGGTGGGAGCCAAAAGTCTTCAAAACTTTACAGAAGACTAAAAGGTCTGCTGAAGTTCAAGGGGCAGAATATTCCATAAGGCAGAGGCTGCACACAAAGGCTAATCTATGGAACACTGGAAGTCTGCAGAAGTCCAAAAAGGTGGTCACCTTTCTAGGAGAATGAGCCATTGAAGGATACAGGTGGTGATACAAAGAGCAATGTGAGGACTAACATTTAGAAATCTGACAGTAGTAAATCATGAGTGCAGTGAGCAACTGGGAGCCTGCTTCTACTACGTTAAGCTGAATTGTGACCTTATACAAGAAATCACCTTAAAATAATGAAAAACAGAGACAAGCAGTGTGGGCCCTTGTTTACCAATACATGTCTAGTTATAGGTGCTGCAATATCAAATCTATGTAAGTAAACCTTGTCAAAGAGACTGAAATGCAGTTAAAATGGTCTTGAGCTTAAAATATCCAAAAGTGGTGATCTAGTGCTCACAAGATATTGGGCTGATGACCCCAGTACTTATAAATCTACAAATGGGTACTTGTTCCAGTTTCCTGATCTAGCAAAAAGCAAAGCTTATTGGAATCACTTTCTACAGAAACAGAATACATCTCATGCAAGAAACAATTTAGTTGCATCAAGAAGATCTTGGAGAACCAATATCGCAGTCAACAGTTTTACATGAGGACAATCAACGATGTATACAGCAAACAGTGAAAAGATAAATGCCAGAACCAGGCACATTGGTCTTGAATATCATTCTTTATAGTTCTAGCTGAATAAAATGAGGTTGTGCTTGAATACTGTGAAACTGATATGACTGGAGAAGATATTTTAAAGCCATTGCACCAAATAAACCCTCACCAAAGTTTTACCAGGACGGCATGTCCAAACCAAAATGCAGGGACTTCAGTTGTCCTCCCCAAAGAAGCCATATTTCCTATTCCTTACTTTCCCAGTATTAGCCAATGTGAAGTGAAACTCAAACTCTGGACATTCCAATTCACAAATTATATTTCCTTCAAAACTCTGTTCGGTCACATTTGGCTAGACTTAAAGAAATGGTCGACAGTTCCCTAAACAGCATCACAATAGTCTCTTATCTGCATGAGCCATAAGGAGACAAGAGGAGACAAGGAGGCAGGACTCCATGATAAATATTTGGAGTCTCATTTGACTTATGGAGTCATGCCCAATAACTGTTCTGACAATTGTCATCAGTGGCTGTATTTTCCATTCCTCTCCTCCTGATATTTTTTTGCTCTTGTTATTCCTTCCCCTTGCTTTAGATCTAGATTAAAATTAGGTTGACAGCTGTTTCTTTTCCATCAAGAAAAGATGTATTGTAACTAAGGATGGAATTTTGTATCATTTACTTTAGGAATAAAATGCAAGGAATTTTCTCAATGTGTAGAATAGTGGGTTAAGTCTGGATCTAACCCCACAACTCATGATATGTTTCCCACAAGTCAATGGGGAAGCCAACAGGAAGGTGGAAGTTGCTCCCACTGCTTTTTTGCCTGTCCCTGGTCAGCCTGTTTATCTGTTTAGGTAAGGAAATACTAATATTGAAGTTTGTTCATTATACCAAACAAAAATGAACCTGAAGCAAGAGCCTGGAACATTATATTGAAAGATAAAACGGTGCTTTGCAAATACTTTCAGACTCCCGCCAACCTCCAATCTCTGCGGCTGCTCTTCCCAGTGAAACAAACTAGTTTGGATCTTCTACTCCTTTATTGTAAAAAAAACAAAGGGAAACAAGAATGAAGGCAGGGGAGCTCTGGTCAAGGGTAGATCTCTGAGTTCGTTGAAAGGAGTCTCTTCTTGCTGTTCCCTCAGAGCTCAGATCAAGACAAGTGTGAGACATTATAGTTCTGGGATAATAATAGAGCTGGGTGGAAACGTCTGGTTTGCTTTGGTCCAATGACTGTCTTTCAGCCCAATCTATTTTTCAGAGTTATTGTAAAGATAATATGGAGGAATGTTCCCTCCCGCCACCATGCACAATTTTGACTCACAGACGAAAGGCAGGTTATATGTGTTAACAATAACCAATACTTTTTCTGGAACATAAGCAATAGGAATGAAGATTACTTTGGGAGGGAATAGCAAAGAGAATTCTAAGCTCTCTAGTAATCTGTCATCAGTGTACTGCAAAGATAAAAGTAAATTTAATTTTAAAGAGATAAGTACTCAGAAAAGAAATGAGTTCCTGGTACATCAGATATAGCATGAATAGATGCATTTTACAGCTCTGAATAGTTTCATGTGTATGTGGGCACCACCAAGGTCCTGAGAGGTGTTCCCATGCACATTGCTCTGTATTCAGCTTTCTCTGCTTCCAGAAATAGCTATTTGAGAGATGAAAGGCAAGATGGTATTATAGTTCATGGGTGGAAGCACTGCAAAATCATGATAATTCACGGCTGACATTTTCAGAAGAGCAAGCAGTACCCTTCAAAGGCTGCTGGTTTTGATGGCACTGTCTGTATCTTTGGATACATTAGCTAAGGATTCCTAGAACTCAGGAGATTCTCACTGATGGGCCCACAGGTTGCTAATGAATGGGTGGCCGGTGTTAGTGCTTTGACATTTACAATAAGCTTCAGTTAAATTCATTTGTCCTTTAGAAGGAAAGCTTTTTTCCTCCTGCATCATTCTGCAAAAAGCTGTGACTTTTTTTCCCCCTCTCCTTCCACTAGATGGACCTAGAGTATTTCCTACTATTGTGATAAATATGATTTTTTTCTCTTCTTTTTTTTTCAAATTAATTGTGTTACTTATTCAATGCTTTTCAATGAATCCAAAGAACTTGAATGCAGGTGGTATTCAGCAGGTTCTGACCAGTTCTGGAGAACCAGTAGCGGAAATTTTGAGTAGTTTGGAAAAACGGCAAATCCCACCTGACTAGAGATTTTACAGGATCCTTCCCCTGCCACGCCCACCAAGCCACGCCCATGGAACCGGTAGTAAAAAAAATTGAATCCCACCACTGGTAGACATGTTCATTCTTCCAGCATTCAGGCAATTTATGTGACACGGAAACTATCAGGTACCCTGTAAGTAATTAAGTCCACTGCACTAGTGGGCAGTGGGAGAAAATGGAATATGATTCTCAGAATTATTGGAATTTGGGGATAATGCCAGTGACATCACTGGAGATTTATTCACCAAAGCAATCCCAGCCTGCTGCTCCTGCAATGTTTTTCTCGAGATGTTGGCTTACTCAAAAGGGTAAGAGTTGCATCTCCTAAACCAGGGCTCGCCAACCTTTTGGACTTCAGGGACCACCAAACTCATAATTTTAAATCCCAGGGACCACTAACCGGTTCTGTGGGCATGGCCTGATTTGTGGGTGTAGCTTGGTGGTCATGTGACTGGCTGGCATGGCTTGTATGTAAATATATTTATATAAAGATTGAATTTTTAATTAAAAAAGAGCAACTTTTACCCAAAATCAGGCAAAGTAGGCAGGCAGATTGAGTTGCTCACAGAATCATTCAGTGATCTATCTTTTTGCCATTGGCTAGCTCAGTCTCTCAAATTTGCTTGCCGTGAGTCTGCACTGAATAATAGAACCTTCAGTCCTAAGGGAGGTTCAGCTGTGCTTAAAAGCAGAGCCGAAGATCTAAAGATTAGCTAGAAAGCAAGAAATCCAACCATTTCCTGCTTCCTAGCTAATCCAAATCTCCCAGGAAAGCAGAACAGCTGATGGTTGGAAAATAGTTTGCCCCGTAAGGAGTGGGCAGGGAGGGTGCCCGTGGACCATGTGGGCGACACAGCCTTGTGTTTCTGGCAGCCTGGATTAATTGCTTTGTGGGGGGTGCTCTGGGGGTGAGATTCTCTGCAGCCCACTGGTGGGCGGCCTCTGTCCTAAAATAACAAAGCTGAGATAGTTGTGTTTTACACAGATCTGACAGATTATGCTTTGTTCTATGTTCTGAGGAGGAATTTGAGAGGTAAATGAGACTGTATTCAGACATTACACTATTCAAGTGTACAAAGAAGGTCCAAATATATTACATACAAATGCATGTGCAACACAGCCTGCACAATCTACAGCCTGCGGACCACATGTGGCCCACCAAGTATCCTTGTGTTTTTTAAAAGAATAACCATTCTACTACATCCAAATGTCTCACCTTCAACAAGGATCCCCACTGTTGCCACCACTGTATCTTTCACAAAGACTGGCTACCAAGCACCTCCAACCATGCTAGCTCCATCACTGCTACTACACTGTACCGACAGCTACCAAAGACTTGATTGGTGTGCCAGCAGTCATAGAATAGAATAAAATAGTAGAGTAGAGTAGAGTAGAGTAGAGTAGAGTAGAGTAGAGTAGAGTAGAGTAGAGTAGAGTAGAGTAGAGTAGAGTAGGAACAGGAACAGGAACAGGAACAGGAACAGGAACAGGAACAGGAATAGGAATAGGAATAGGAATAGGAATAGGAATAGAATTCTTTATTGGCCACGTGTGATTGACTTACCTCTTCTTTTCTGCCAATCCTCCAGATGGAAACAACACTGGTCTTGCTTTTAAGATATAAAGCAGATCTGATAGGAGCGGAATGGGGGTCATCCATCCTGGTTTTATCTGAACTCTTGGTAGCTTTTAATAGCATTCACCATGATATTCTTCCGGACCAGTTTCAAGGATTTGGAGTGGAGTTCCTTTCCTTCTGATAATGTAGGAAAAGGAAGGACAGATTCTCTAGTGGAGTCAAGAGAGGAATCAGCCTGGAGTCATTACGTTCCTACAAATGGTCTGTTAGTGGTTGCCAACTGGGGGGCCATGGCCCACTGGTGGTCCGCAAGAAAATTTTGGTGGTCCACAGAGAAATGTCAACCCCCAAAGCACTCCCCCAAAGCAATTAATCCAGACTGTGAGGGAAAACAAGGCTGCGCCACCCACATGGCCCACAGGAACCCTTCCCACCCACTCACTCCTTACCTGGCAAACTTGCTTGCTAAGTTGCTATTTTTCCTTTTTTTCCCATCAGCTGTTCTGCTGTGCCAGAAGATTTAGATTAGCTAGAAAGGAGGAAATCATTGGATTTCTTGCTTTCTAGCTAATCTTTAGATCTTCGGCTCTGCTTTTAAGCAGAGCCAAACCTTCCTTAGGACTGAAGCTTCTATTTGTCAGTGCAGACTCAGGTAGCCGATGCCAGAAAGATAGATTTCTGAATGAATCTGTGATTCTGTGAGCAACTCAATCTGCCTGCCTGCTTTGCCTGATTTTGGGTAAAAGTTGCTCTTTTTTAATAAAAATTTCAATATTTACAAAAATATTTATAATATTTACATACAAGTTATGCCCAACCAGTCACATGACCACCAAGCCCCACCCACAAATTAGGCCATGCCCACAGAACTGGTTGCTAAGAAATTTGTATCCCACCCCTGCCTCTGTGTGTTTGTGTGGGGGGGGGGGAGGGAGAGAGGTTAAATCAGATCTCTCTCTCTCTCTCTCTCTCTCTCTCTCTCTTTCTCTCTCCCGCCAACGTCAGCAAGCCACTGTCAGTCAAAATTCATATTAGTGGTCCTGTGGATTTAAAATTATGAGTTTGGTGGTCCCTGAAGTCCAAAAGGTTGGTGACCCCTGGCCTAGACCATATTGAAGCAATATTTCTAATCCTTGAATATAACAAAAAAATACAGCATTTTTAATCAGGTAAGATTTGCCTATTTTACTGCTATTGGATGTATAAATCAAATAAAAAGACGTTCAACTCTTCAACTCTGGCCATTTTACATTTTTTTATCTGAATAAATAAGTCTTGCCTGAACATGTCTTCTGTAACAATGAAGACAGGGATGACTTCAAAATAGTACAATTGTGAGAGCAGCAAAACAAATTCCAAGAAGCAAAATGGTTAAGAGAACAAAACTGGTTTTCCTTGCAATATTCCATGGACCACACATTACACAGAAGTGCATTCTGATAACCAGAAGGGGGGATCAGATATTTTTTATTATAGGTAGTCCTTGACTTACACCACTTCATTTAGTGACTGTTCAGAGTTACAACAGCACTGAAGAAAGTGACTTATTATGACCATTTTTTTTTACACTGATAACTGTTGAAGCATCTCCATGGTCACGTGATCAAAATTCAGGTGCTTGGCAACTGACTCTCATTTATGACAGTTGTAGTGTCCTGGAGTCCCATGATCACCTTTTGTGACCTTTTGAGGACCAAAGTCAATAGGGAAGCCAGATTCACTTAAAAACCGTATTACTAATTTAACCATTGCAGTGATTCACTTAACAATTGTGGCAAGGTCGTAAAATTGGGCAAAATTCACTTAACAAATGTTTCACTTAGAAACAGAAATTTTGGGCTCAATTTTGGTTGTAAGTTGAGGGCTATCTGTAGTGAGGACGAGGGTAGAACTACCTAGTTTGCATGCAAAACCTTCCCAAGAACTGAACATGAAGCTCAACCTGGAAAATGTCATCGAATGGCAGGGAAGAAATAAAAAAACTGGTTCATACTCAAAAAGTTGGCATTGGCTAAAAGACTTTACTTACTCTGGGCATTGATGCATTCCCCATAAAGGTTCACTTTCAGTCTGTTGAGATTTTGCATATTGCCTTGAAATTCCACAAATATCCTTGAACTTTTAGGTGGTTCCTATGGCATGAAACCATATTATTAGTGGTATACCAGTTCTATTCCCTCCAGAACTGAAAATCCTGGCACAGGATAACAATGCTTTGAGAGCAACTGGTGAAATTATTCTAATGGCTTTTCTGAACACCATGTGGAACTTCAGTTAACACAGTCTTTCTCACCCCAGCAATTTTAAGATGTGTGACTTCAACTTCTAATCCATACTTCTTAAAGTTGCCAAGGATGAGAAACAGTGAGTTTGACTGAAATTACAATGGTAAGATTACAATAGTTTTTTAAAAAGTTAAGTTGGTTTCTAGTCCATTTCCCAGCATAGTTAAAAGATGCCCTAAGATTACAATTGGAGCAGAAGGATGGAGTTCAATTATTCAAAAGTAATACATGAAGTTTAAGAATTGGCACTGATTTTTAAAGCTGTAAATAATTTAGATGCACCTGTTTTAAGAGTCACTTCTCATGACCTTGCCTGTGGATTAAGAATGAATAAGATCTTTCTCAGGAATTATTCTCCAGGCTTTATTGTTGTAGGTTTTCCTCAGTTGTGTTACCATAACTCTGGAGTTCTCACTTTGCAAATTAGTATACTAGTTTTAAATCTGTATTGCTGGCTTTGCAGCTAATGTGTCATATGCAAATTGCATTTATAAGTTCTTATATTCAGTTCTGAATTGTAGGCAGTTATTAAAATGTTCTATTTTAATAACATGCTGCATCATGATTATTTTTGGATAATGTCATTACAGAGTTTAATCATTAGATAGAAATAACTTTCAGATCTTTAAGAAATATGAATTCCACATTATTAGCTTAAGACAATGACAGTTCTTCTCAGGCTTCCTGATGGGGATGTCCTTTTAAGAATATTGTGACAGTAAGCCTCAGGCAAGTAGCAACATGACAGAACATACAGTAGTAATGTTCTTTCACTGTTTTATACAGTATGGCAATGTTGATAGATTGAGCCCTAATTTTCCACAGGTGCTTATCAGAGTTTTAGTAGTTTATTATTTGTCAAAGACTGCAGCATATTTATGCTCCCAGTTTTCTAGAGCAATTATATCTGAATATCAGAATTTAAGCACTGGTCTTTATTGAGCCCATCTGTTGCACACAAACAATAATATATTTTATTACTGCGCATTGCTCTATCTTACTACTGTATTGTAAATCGTGAGTTATATGACTTGGCATATAACTTTTGATTCAATTTGTTTGCTTGTTTACTCCAGTATATGCAAAGGTTGCTATTGGAATCTTGATTTGTTTTTAAATCTTTTTAACAAGTCTCCTAGCTTTTAAATCAGTAGAGGGTTTTTTGTTGGTTGGTTAATCTTTCACTGGAGAACTCTTCAGAAAAATATTGCAAATAAAGTGGATTTTGGCTTAAGGTTGTCATTTCTTACACTTTTGATGCTAAAGTTTAGTGCTAATTCTGAAGACACACAGCTCTTATCCAATGTGACATGCTCTGCCGTATTCAGTTACAGTATGAAATCTAAGTTTGATCATTTTTAAAAAAAAATAAGTGAAAGGGGAAAAGCAATGGCTTTCTCAAGGTATCTTGGGAGTTGCTGAGCACATTGTTCCACTGCCTCGTTCTTTTTAATGTGTATTTCTGTTTTATCCATGTCATGACGCTTAGAAAGCTCTATTCCAAATTATCAAAGGCTTTTTCCATGCCTAAAAATATTATTACTAATTTATTTTCTTACTAATGAATTCTAATATTAAACGCATTAGATGCCATTATCCATCATCTCTCTTTTTGGAATGTAATCTATCTATTCTCTGGGTATAATTTGGGGAAGTATTTCATTACATGTACAGCTACAGCGAATATCTTAGAATCAAATTTCAACAAAGAAAGATGTGATTGAGGTTTCTTCAGTTCATTCCTTTTTTTTAAATTTTTTTATTTAAATCCTCAAAATATTCTTTTCCAAGCCTAATTGGTATTGTTTGAAACAAAAATAAGACTCTGGGTAAAATGTTCATCTTAATTGTTGAAATCCTTCCTATTAATGACAATTGTAAGTCCTCCCATTTTTTCAAGTCTTGAGCTATCTGTTGTTTAAGTTTAATATAATTATTCTCCTTCAATGTACTACATCTTGATGTCAAATATATCCCCAGATACTTAACCTTGTTTGTAACTTGAATTTTTAACAGTTCTGCCAACTCTTCCCTTTGTTTCAGCAACATATTCTTTGACAAAATCTTTGTTTTATCTCTATTTATTTTCAAACCAGCCACCTCCCCATAGACCTCTATCTTTTCCAACAGTTTCGAGGCTGTTTCTATAGGGTCTTCCAAGATAAAGACTAGGTCATCTGCAAAGGCTTGTAGTTTAAATTCTTCCTTTTTAATTTTCATTCCTTTTATAGTTTTATCTTCTCTGATATTTCTATTCAACACTTCCAAAGTCAATACAAATATCAAGGGAGAAAGAGGACAACCTTGTCTTGTGCCTTTTCTTATATTAATAGGATCTGTAAATTCTCCCTCCATCATTACCTTAGCTGTTTGTTCATTATAAATTGCTTCTATTGCCTGAATAAATCTTCTAGCAAAGCCCATCTGTTCCATTAAAAGTAACATAAATCTCCAATTCACGTTATCAAATGCCTTTTGAGCATCTAAAAATATCAAAGCCATTTGCTTTTCAGGATGTGCCTCATAGTATTCCAAGGTGTCCAGAATTACTCTCATATTGTCTCTGATTTGTCGCTTTGGCAAAAACCCATTTTGGTCTGGGTGGATAAAGTTATTCAAGTACTTTTTAAGTCTTTCTGCTAATATTGAAGCAAAAATTTTATAATCTGCATTTAGTAAAGAAATCGGTCTATAATTCTTGATTTGCAGTAGGTCCGCCTCCTCTTTTGGAATAAGTGTAATGTAAGCCTCTGACCATGTTTTAGGTATCATCTTTTTTAACATAACTTCATTCATAACTTCTAACAGTGGAATACACAGTGATTCTTGAAAGATTTTATAAAATTCTACAGGAAACCCGTCTGGACCTGGTGCCTTTCCATTATTTTGTTTCTTAAGTGCTTGACTTAACTCCATCATTGTTATATTACTTTCTAGCATTTCTTCAATCTCTTTAGGTATCTTAGGTAGATTTGCATTCTGTAGGTATTGTTTAACTTTCTCCTCATCAATGTCTTCTTTCTTATACAAATGCTTATAAAAATCATAAATAATCTCTTTTTTTTCTTTGCTGCCATAACAAATTTTACCTTGGTCGTCTATTAACTGCGGTATTTTCCTCGACTCTTTCTCCTTTCTCAATTTGTATGCTAGCCATCTACCTGGCTTATTTGCATCCTCAAAATAATTCTGTTTAGCATTCCTAATTTTCTGTGCCAGTTCTTCTTTCTCTATTAAATCCATTTTATGTTTAGTTATATCCAGTTTCATTTTAACATCTTTTCTGTGTGGCATTTTCTGTAATTCTTTTTCAAGTCCCTTATATTCATCATCCAAGGCTTTAAGAGTTCGCCTTTTCCTGTTGTTCTTTTTTCTTGTATAGTCTATTATCAAGCCTCTAACATAGGCCTTCATTGTGTCCCAAACATTCTGTATTGAGGTGTCTTCTTTTCTGTTCTCTTTAAAGAAGAAGGCCAATTCTTTCTCCATCCATTGTATAAATTCCTTATCCTTTAAAATAGAATTATTTAATGTCCATCTCGATCTTTTCCTTTGTCCCTTCCATTCAATTGTCAATGGGTTATGGTCAGCCCAAGTACTTGTTTCAATATTTACTTCTTGAATACTAGACATTAAATCTGTTGAGATCCAAATCATATCCAGTCTGGACCATGATAGATGCCTATTTGAATAGAACGTAAATTGCTTAGATTTATCATTTCTTTCTCTCCATATGTCTTTTAAAGTTAATTCATCTATCATTTTAAAAAAGGATTTAGGAAGAGTTTTCCTGTTATGCTTTACTGTTGTTGCAATATAGTCAAGTCTATTATCCACAATTCCATTAAAGTCTCCCATCATAATTACATTAGCATAGTCAAGTTCGGCAGTCTTAGTATGTAATTTTCTATAGAATTCTTCCTGCTTATCATTCGGTGCATAAATTGCAATCAAAAGTATCTTTCTATTATTGTCCATTATTTCTACCATTAATATTCTCCCATCATCATCTGTATAAATCATTTTTGCTGAAATGGCCTCTTTAATATATAAAACCACCCCTCTTTTCTTGGATTGTGTCAAAGAGGTAAACAATTTCCCTAATTTTGGTTGTAATAACAATTGTTCATGTTGCTTTTTAATATGAACTTCTTGTAAACAAATTATGTCGAACCTTAATTTCATTAATTTATGGAAAATCTTCCTTCTCTTAGCAGCTGAGTTCAGTCCATTTATATTCATTGTAATCAATTTTTTTTCTTCCATAATTATGTTTTATATTTAGATTTAACCACTCTCGTGGGTCTTGCCTCACGTTGATCTTTAATATCCACTTGTCCACCTACTGCACCTTCTTCTTTTCCAACCTCCATTTGTTCCTCTTGAGATTCAATTGATGGGACCTCCTTTCCTGCTCCTCCTTCTCTGCCTCCAAAAACCTCTGCGCAAAACAGTTCTGCTTTCTCAATTGAATCAATTCTATGTCTCTGTTCCTGCCACGTAAACATCAATCCTTCTGGAATCAACCACCTGTAAGACACCTCTTTTTCCAATAACCTTTTAGTCAGGAATCGGTATTCTCTTCTCATCTCTCTCACTCTTCTAGGTATTTGTTTTAAAACCAAAATTTCTTTACTTTTGTATTTCAGTGGCTTCTCTCTTGCTACTTGCAATATTTGTGTCTTCAAGGATTTTTTAATAAATCTAATATGAACTTCTCTGGGTAGGTTATTTCTCATCGCATATCTTGTAAAAACTCGATATATCTCATCAATTCCATCCATCATCTTCTCTTCTGTTATCTCGAGCGCCTCCGCCAAGATTCCTACCATTATCGCAACCAAATCTTGTCCTTTTTCTTCTTCTATATTTTGGAATCTAAGATAAAATTCTGATCTATCCAACTCCCACTTCAACATCTCACTTTTTTCTTGTTCAATCGCTGTTAATCTATTGTCGATATTTCCAATTTTCTCCTCTCTTTGTTTGCCTCCCTCTTCAACATTTTGGAGTCTCTCTTCATATTTTTCCATCATCTGTTCCATCCTACCTGTTCTTTGTTCAATAGTATCCATTTTTACCTTAAGATCTTGAATTCCTTGCATAATCATCTGGAAGGATACTCTTTCTTGTTCTTGTTCTTTTTCTTTCTCTTTATCTTGCTTTAACAATGTCTGAATTGAACGCTGTCCAGATGGTGGGGAGGCAGAAGCAGACATAGAGGCACCCGAAGATATAAATTTCTTACTCATTTTAAGTGGTTCCAACTCTTCAAGTTTTTTCAAATTTTAATCCACAAAAAAAAGAGAAAAAAATATGAAATTTTAATCCAAGGTAAAAAGGCCAACAATAAAAAAGCCAAAAGTGAGAGAAAAAAAAGAAAAAAAGAAAAAAAAAAATTCTTCAAATTCTTCCTGACCTTAGTCCAATAAAAAAAAGAAAAAAAAAACCATAAAAAAAAGTAACAGTAAAAATAAAAACCCAATAATAATAATAAACAAGACAAAGCCAAAAAGGAAGAAGGGAAGAAGAAAAAGAGAAAAAACAAAAAACAAAACAAAAACCAAGAAAAATAAGTTTCTTCAGATTCCACACCTTAGTCCAGCCAGAAAAAAAAAAAAAAAGAAAAAAGAAAAAACCTCAATTAAAAAAAGGAAAAAGAAATAGTCCGCTAATGTACATTAAAAAAAAAAAAAGGAAAAAAGAGAAAACAGGATCCAAATAGGCAAAAGAAAAAATAAAATCAGTTAAATCAAAATAAAATATAAGTAGAAAAAAGAAATTCAGAGGCTTCCCTTTGCAAATAAATCAAGCTTAAAAGTCAGGACCTTGATGTTAGTGAAGGGGTTGGCAGAACTCAAAAAAAACAACAACACTGCACTCTATTTAATTATCCAAGGCTCTAATTATAACTCCCTTCTCTTTCCCACAAGTTTCAAAGCTGAGCCATGTATATCCAGAAAGACACCTGTAATAATATTCCACAAAGTGCTTTCCTCTATCTTATCAGGGGATGTCCTTGAGAAGAAGAGTCTATTTTTCTTTTTTTTAAATATTTCCGAGCCTCCAGGTGGCAGTGTTACAAAGTATCATAGTTCTCACTTTCCCCCCTCCTCTCTTAAGGGAAAGCCGGCTTGCAATACACAAAACAAAAACCGAAAAATCAAACAAAATCAAGAGAAGCCTCTAGCCCAGAAAAAAAAAAATAAAAAGTCCAGAAGAAGAATAAAACATATGAATATATAGAAAAAAGAAAACAGTCCAGTTATCCAATAAGTAACAATAGAGTCCGGAAGCAAAGAAAAGAAAAAAAATGGATTCTCTCTTTGACGTTTCCCTAAAAAAACGCCGCTAAATCAATTTTGTCAAAAAACAAAACAAAAATCACACAGGTTTCTTCAGATAATTAGAGTAAACTTTCCAAATTCAAAAAATTAAATAAAAAAAAGAAGTTCTCACCCAACCGACAAACTCTTTCTCAAACTCTTTCCGTCTGGAGTCGCCCCGGCCTCAGCAGCATGGGGGCTGCCTCTCCGCCGCTGGCAAGAAGAGCTTCACCCGGGCTCTCCAGGGATTTTGCGGTATCCCCGGAATCCTCAGGATATGCTCTTCACGATGGCTGTCCCTACGGGACAGCGTAGGTCCGTTGGACCGGCCAGTGGCGGAGATATCGGCTGCAATCGAGGAGCTCGATTGCAGACCGTATCGCCACGGCGCAAGCTCCTCCCATCTCCTCCCTTTTTAAAGCATAAAGTTTTATATGTGTTTTCTAAATTTTTCTAACATTTGGCTGTAAGTCCATCTGCATTTGGCACCTTCCCAGTTTTAAGTCTCTATCACTTCTTTATTTACTTGAATTGTAATAGGGTTTGTTGCTTAGTATTTATTTTCCTGTGAATTCTTTAACTTCTAACTCTTTAATGCATGCTTTCCATTTTTCCCTGTTCATTTTACAATTAGAATTCTTGGGGAAAATCTATTTTTTTCTATTATTTCCATCTTATATATAACAATTTATTTCATTTATCAATGTTACTATCCTTCTCTTGTTATCTTTTCCGAGTTAATGCATCAAGTTTCCTTAATTTCTTTGAATTCTCAAAATGGCTTTATTGTCATCTTTATTTGGAGAATAACAGGATTCCAATGTTAAAACTTTACTTTTATTTCTTAGTTTCAGTGCTCCAATACTTTCCAGGAAGGTGATTTAATAACTACTATTCTATTTTTCTTTACTTATCCTGATGCCATATATTCCCAACTTGTTTTTTTTAATTTAACAAATCAACAGCCTTGCTTTATATACAGTTGTTAAAAGCAAGCATCAGTTTTATGTTATGTATTTAGAGCTTGTTAAAATCTTTCATTAGGCAAATTGAGTCCATTTACATTTAATGAGATTGATGTTATCCATTTTGGTTTCAATTTAATAATTCAGCTATATCAAGTTTCCCCTTCTTCATTGCTGATATCCTTCCCAATGCCAAGATCTTTGTTAAGATCTTTTGGCCTAGCACTGAAAATGTTACCTAATCTGGCAAACTAGCAACCAAGCTCGGATAGCATCAAGGACTCCACAGTTCAACCTTGAGCTCCATATATTCTCTTCTATTGGATCTGGATCTAGAATCTATTGGATAAATCCTGAACAGTTAGTCTTTCATATAAAGGGAAGCCTCTATACCTTTCTATAGACTAAGATGTGATTGCAGGTTGAATCTGGGGACTTTCTACCTATAGGACTTGGAAAACTATTTCTGGAAGGTTTTCTGTTTTGGTAATCAGAAAATAGGGTTTCTAACTTTCTATAATTTTAAAGACTCTTAATCCCCAGCCCAGGGACTGCATCAAGACAGAAAATAAGATAAGCAACAAACAAAGGGTTGTCAAAATTAGCTCAAATACCTAGGATTTGTGTTTCCTTTTTTGCCCATAGAACCAGTTATGACCGCTACATAACCCCTACACGACCCCATAGGAATCTGACAACAGCCAATAGAATAAGAAAGGACATGTTCTTGCACAGGAACAGGAAGCTCAAATACAAAGCCCACAGAAGATATAAAAACCACCCACTCTCATCTCCATTTGTCAGCTGCACCAGAACAACAAACCTGGTGGTTCTGCTTTATCAATAAATGGACCCCGTTTCCAATCATCCTCCATTTTGTTTCCAGTGCCTGTGTCCCAGTTTGGAACTGAACCAGATGGATTTTTCTTCCAAAATACCAATGGAGATTTTCAGTTCTATGGAAAATGATTCATAAGTTGTAGCCATCCTCTTAAAGACATATAAAATCTAAATTATATTTTCCTACTGGTGCTTTCTGCTATTCATTGTACTTTACAGATTTAATTGTGATCAAATCCAATATAAATGACATGAGAACTACAAGCCAAGCAACTATATTTCATGTTCTTTATGTGAATTTACATTCAGTATTTTATAAACCCTGAAATTGAAGTCAAGCTGTATCAAACACAGCTAGACATTAAATCTGAATGTTATGTTAAAATTGAATTAATTCAGTGGCTGGGAGGACAGATTAAAAACAAAAGAAAGTTGGAAGAAAACAGATTAAAGAAGAGCACAGAGTAATATATATAGAAGACAGACACAAAATAGTCCAAAGCTGAGGATAAACATACTCTCTGGTTCTAATTATGTCCTTCAGCTATCCAATAAATATACCTCTAATTCTGTCATTTGCATAAGCCATCTAAAAATAATCTTTATATTGTTATTGCAGAATAAACATTCGTGAGTTAGGTTACATAAGAATTATTAATTTTAGGGTGTATTTGAACTTACTAAAGCAGGACTTTTAACAAGCAACCATAGTTAAAAAGGAAATGAAAAAGAACAGGTGTCTTCCACTGTAGCTGATTAATTACTATCAAGGGTTAAAGTGTATAAGAAAGCATATGGTAAGGATTTAAACAAGAGGACAGATGTATTTGTATTAGGAACTTAGCAGATAAACCTCTAGAATTTAGGGGGTAGGCTGAATAATTACTCTATTTGAATGGTGATCCAGTGCAATTGGCAAGGACTGATGGCTTTAGAATAATTATGATTATATGCAGTGGTATTTGTCCTTTTAACTACAGCCATTATGTAAGAGAAGTCTAATATATCCAAGTCTAATATATAGAAGTCTAATATATTCCAACATATCTGGCAACTCAGCTATTTCCTTCTGCAAGATAACAATAATGTGCATGTCCCACATTTCTAGAAAGAAATCAACACCCATAAGTCAAGTACTTTAGACAGCTATGTAGTTTGAGAGGTTTATATCCCACCTTTCTTCAGGAACGCATTTTATTGTTTCCCTCATCCCCTAACAACTACCCTGCAAGGTACTTAAGGCTACTTAAGGGGAGGCGGGCCTTTGTAGCGTTGTGGTACTGGATAAACAGGTCAAGTAGTTCAGCCCCTTTCAGTGATCAGAAAGCCCGTGTACTTGAATAAAACGCAGCGCTAAATACTCTTGACACTCGATGCCGTGGGACGTTTGTTAACCTTCCTCTCCATTGCAAGTACATTTTACGTACGGCGAAGAATAGAACAGAACAGAATTCTTTATTGCCAAGTGTGGTTGGACACAGAAGGAATTTGTCTTGGTGCAAATACTCTCAGTACATTCGTCAAGAATCATAAGGTACAACCCTTAATGATAGTCATAGGGTACAACGCGAGCGCTTTTTAGCTTAAACGTGTAAATTATGTGGGAAATGCCCCTTTCCGTGAAAGGCATCTGGCCGACAGGCTTTGCATTGGCCACAGCGCCTTTGGAGGCTCTCACATAAGAGCACGTGCGCGTCGGTTTGCCACCTTCCCGCCGCCGGCGTCATCCAAGGAGACCAAATGGCAAGAAGCGAGGGGAGCTGATTCCAACAGACTACCTCAAAGACAGACCAAATGGTAGGGGGGGGGGGGACCGTTCTCTGTCCTTTGAAGATAACGCCAGGCAGAGCGTGCCGAGGGTAGGAGACAACGGCCGCTTCCGCGCGGCTACTCCCCCTCTCATTTGGAGCGTTTTCCCCTTGAGCGGGACCAACTCTAGCGAGAACGACTTGACTTTGCCGTTAACCCCCTCTTCAAACCACGGGGGGAGGGGGATTAAGGGCGTGGGGAAGCAGCGCGTGGGCAAGAGGGAAGTCTCAGCGATGGGCAATCGAGCCCTCCCCCCCGCAATGCGGTCAAAGGCGCTCACGCGTTCTCACCTTCGAATTTAGGCCTATCTTGACTCGCATTGGAGCTCGAGCGGTCGGCGCCTGCGCACTTTTTTCTCCCAGCAAGCCGAATTCCAGGAGAAGGGAATGGTGGGCGCATGCGCCCTTCTTGCCTTTTCTCCCCTGCCGTCCTGAGCGGCGCGCGCGTGTGTGTGTGTGTGGAGGGAGAGATTCCTCCCCTCCCTCCGCTAAGCTGCTCCCGGTGCTGAATGAGAGCAGCCGAAGCGTCGGAGGAAAGTCGGGAGCCGGACGGCGATTGGCCCAACCGTTGCTGCCTTTTGCTGCCTCTTCTCCGGCTCCCGCTCGCCCTTCCCTATTCGGCAGGTGAGCGAAGGAGCCGCGGGCAAGAGGTGGGGGCTTGAGGGCTTTGGCGGGTGGTCGAGCGTCTGCTTTTGCCGGCTGGGCGAGAGGCTCCGCAAGGCCCTTTGGCGCTGGCCGGGATCCCCGAGAAAGGCTGAGGCGCCGCGAATTCTTCCCCGCCCGCCCCGGGCTTTTACACTTCTGCAGCCGGCATGTTTCGGCTCGCTTCCTGGGTTAGGCGGGGGTCGGTGGGAAAGAGGGCGCCTCTCTGAGCCGCCCGCGACGTCGTTCCCGGCTGCCCAGACGCGGCTTCTCCGTTTAACGCCTTCCAGACCAAGGAGTGCCCGCTTTCATACCGTTGGGGGCGGGGAATAATCTTCAGAAACGCTTTTAGGGCCGTTGAGTTTCTAGGCTTGACATGAATGAACTCTGTTGAGTTGCAGAAGATGCGACCTCGGGTCCAGACCGCAACGGGGAAGCCTTGTTTTTTATCCTGAGGCATGCAACAAGCCTTTCTTTATGCTGATAGTGTTTAAAAAAGCCAGATGCTTGCTTGTCTGATACACTTTCACTTAAGATTACCAGCAATACAGTGCGTTCCTAATTTGTGCTCTCTGCTTTGTGACACACCTATTTCTGTCTCTTGCACCTGTGACTGTTTGGGACGTGTGTTGTGTTTAAAGCACAAGTTCTGCTTCGTGGTCTTCTCAGGCACAGTCTGTCCACTTTAGAGAGGCCACACACTCCACCGCCTTTTTTTCTCCCTCGTTTACTGCTACTTCTAGAACTGCCCCTGGCTTTCAGCGCTCAGAAAGCCTGTTTTGCTGCAGAAGTGGAGTATTCTGCTATTTCTCTATATGTAAATATATGAATTCACATGTTTAGAAGGCTTTAGGTCTTGAGGTCTTGATGGGTTAACATAGGGTCCTGGTTTTCTAAGCTTGAGATAACTTGCAACCTTTTAATTAGTATAGGTCCTATGTCACCTGGTATTTCAGGTGGTTCTGCTGATGTTTTTATTTTTCACTCTTCTCTAATTCCATCATATTATGAGCCAAAATTTCTATTAGGGTTGGAAACCTCATCTGTTATGCCCAGAGAAGGGAAGCCTCTAATTTTACTTACACTCCAATCTTCCAATCACAGGTTGGTTTTGTCCCACACACTAGTGTATATTTTATACAAATTGGGTATTATTGAGATACTCTAATTTCATAAATATACACAACTTGCTCACTTGTTGCCTTAATAAAATCAACAGAACAAACTAACCCCAATTTGTCCTAATTAAAGAGTATGCAATTTGTCTTGGTTCAAATAACATGTTAAATGCTTCGTGAGTTCTTGAGAGTTGCACTTCCAAAGTGAGAAGGGATATTTGTATTTTTTAAACATGCTGTATATAATTGTTTTGTTTTCAATATATAAATACTGTTAGACCTCTCTCCATCTTCACTCCTTTTGCAAAGTAAAATAAAACGCTGTAGTTTGTTTGGCCTCCAGTAGATGATGACATGGGACTGAGATTATACATTGAGGAAGCAAGGGCTCCTCAATGCTGAGGAGAGAGATGGCAGAAAAAAAGATTGGGAAAAGAGGGACAAGGATAGCTCTTGTAATAGGAAAAAATATGTGGAGTGGTTTAAAACAAGAAAAGGAGGAAAAGTAAAGCAATTTGAATCTATAGCAAGAAGAAACCCAGAATGGATAGGAAGGAGAAAAGTATAATTTTGTATATAATGAAAACATGGGAACCAACTGAAAAATCAGACAATAAAAAATATGGAAAGTCAGAAAGAGGAAAGAAATACACAAAGGTACAAGAGTGGAAAATTCCACAAGAAACATCAGAGTATTAGGTAGGCAATGAAAAAAATAGACCTGCAGATGGGGGGGGAAATAGGATTCTCTGCTCTGCAAAAACCAAGATAAAGCAGTAGGCAGAAGAGAAGTATATACTTCAGGAAGGTTTTTGGGGAAACACAAAGGTGTAGCAGGCTGCATATGGCTATACCTTGGTCTAGCATGCTATGAGAACCCAGTTATAGAGTAACTATTAAGGTTCACACCAGTATTATAAAACATTGTGCAACCCAGTGGTTAATGGGTTATTAAAATGTTTAGACCAAATCATGGTCTGTTTTATGTTATATATATATAAAATATATATAAAAGCTAGATACACATGCTTCGTTATGAAACTATGTGGTTGGGCTTAGTTTTGGGGAGGAAAATAAGGGGGGGAAATTCTGCCTCTACCTACCAGCATCCATCAGTATTCATCTGGCTAAGCGTCCTAGCAGTGTGTGAGAGAGTTGAGGGATGTTTGGAAACTGAAACAGTATTTGCTGTTTGAGCAAGAAGGAGATAGCAAGGAACCTGGTCATGGCTTAGCTTAACTGTTCTGTACTAAAGCTGCTTAGTGCTCTGAAACTCCTCTCCTCCTGTTTTGCATTTGGAACTGATTTCTTTTCAGATGGGGAGGGGGTATAGAACTCCTTAGCATCAGAGCGGGTTAATAATAATATACCAAATACTAATGCTCTGATGATCATTTGAAAAATCCTTTCTTAGTGAGCACCTAGAAGCCAAGAGGAACTTACATGCCAAATTTCAAGTTTGTAGGCTTACAGTTTTGGAAATTTTGTGATGATGCATGAGTGGTATTTCACATATATATATATATATATATACACAGAATAAATAAATATATTTAAGCAAAGTCCAAGAACTGCCAGTATTTCTAAGTCCTTTTGCCTTTTAAATGAGAGCCAAATGTTCTCCCACTCTGAAGACATGGTGTATTGTAAATGTGGGTAGTTGCTGATGTTTTAGAGTCAGTTATAATATAATTCATTGATACCTGAGCAGATGGAAGAAGTAGGCTTCCAGAGAATACTGTTGCAAGATTGGGAAGTCAAAAAACATTGTGATAAAGTGAATCTGTTAATTCCTGCAAATTGGGGAATAAATCAGGTAGGTGTCAAACACCAGGGAAATCAGGAAATTCAGGCAGTTCAAATGAGTATAAAGATTTATTGCAAGCTTAAAAGCTCTCTACAAAAATCTGACCAACTAATGGTCAAAGGAAATGAGCAGGAGATTTAAAAAGGCATTCGAGGTCGGTGGATTTTCTCGAAGGTGCACAGGGACTTGTTACATACAAGGTGTTTGACGCCCTCCCTCAGGCATATATGATGTTAGAGGTCAGAGAGCACCAAGAATCCCTCATTTCAACCCTGAGATACAGATATTATTCTTTATTGATATTTGATGTCAGTTGCCCTGAATGGATGTAATGCTATTTGTCCACAAAATATTCTCTTTCAATAAAATATCAACATTTTATCACCAAAGGGAAAGAATACTCCAGTCTTAAAGAAGCATTTTAGATACCAGTGCCATTTTATATTCATTCTATTCCATGATTGGCCAATAAAGTTCTTTATACTCTCTAAGCTTGATTCTTTGCTTACATAGATGATGTTATCAGTGGACAATGAAAACATCTACAAGCAAGCAACCAAACTTGGAGAGCACAAGAATTTCACATTTATATTAATGCAAAATCCTCTTCACTAGAATGTGGATTATCAGTTTTTTCTTTAATTTGTATTCCTTCATTGAACAGTTGTACTTAGTGGGTAAATAACACCAGACTTTTCTAGACACTTTAATTGTATTTTTTGTAAATTCCACCCAAACGAGTCAGCAATAAGGGATTATAAAAATTATAAGCTACATGTTTGGAAAGCATCCTATCCTATCATACTAATTTTGTTCTTCCCAATTTTTTCTCATTGTTTTCTATTCTCTTTCAAAATTCTGCTAAAAGAATTGCAGTCTTCATATTAAACAATTGCCCAGCTACTCCCTGAACAAACCATGTTCACATATTAGCATATCTCTAATTTTACTATCTACATTTGCCACTTTTCCATTTTTAACATTTTTACTATGTATAATATTATTAGTGTTTATCGTTGGTCAATTCCATTTTCCTAATGTGTTATTTTTTCTTGGTTTATATTGCAGTTTTGCTGTTCTTTGGTCTTTGATAATTTAACAAAACCATTTTCACAGCATTTAGGATTTTTCATTTTTTTGCTTTGAAACTAGTATTAAACATATTAACAATTGATATAATCGAAAGCTCCAAAATTTCTTCAAGCATTCCATCGATTCACTTTCATTCCAAATCAGATCTATTCCATTCTATTGTAGGCTCCTTATTTAGTAACTAATTAGCATTTTTTACTCTTCATCAAAATCACATTTCTTCTGCCTCTTTGAAGTTTAATTATTGCATTCTATTCATAAAAGCTATATTTTACTTTAAATACATCTTATGCAGCATTTTTTTCTCTTGTTCTCATTTTTTGTAACGTTTTTTCTATATGCATTTATAGGCATCTTTTTTCCATAGAGAAAAAATGATTTCTAGTGTTCTGTATCACTTTCATTTATCTTATTGACTATACTGTAAATTGCTCAGAATCTTTGAAATTCAATGCTATGTACAAGCCATGACTGAATAGCAAATGTTTCTCACTAGCTTTATATTAGCATTTCTGTAGCATTTTCTTATCTACAAAGTAAATATGCAATATACAAAATATATTGAATTATGTAAGAGGGAGAACTAGATTAGTCTATAGTGGTAAACAATAGGAATCTGGTTGTACCTAACCAGTTTTATGAAAATACTTGGATTTACATTATGGCCACTGCAATAGTTGTCTTAGACTTCTGAGTACAATTCAAAGAATTGAG